TAAAGGATTAGTTCACCCAAAAATGGATTAGTTCACCCAAAATTCTGTCATTAATTACTCACCCTTGTGTTGTTCCAAACCCGTAAGACCTTCGTTCATCTTCGGAACACAATTTAAGATATTTCTAATAATATCTTAAAAATAACGAAAAATAAAAACTTTATTCCACATTTTCGTCTCTACTGCGTCACTTGTGGATGCGCGTTCACGACAATATCATGACGCAAGCGTGTGGCGGCGCTGACTCAAATCCGGCGTAATGATGTCATCACGCCAGATCTGGGTCAGTGCCGCCACATGCTCACGTCATGGTACTGTCGTGAACGCGCGTCCAAAGTGATGAAAATGTAGAATAAAGTCGTTATTTTTGTTTTCTTTGCGCAAAAAATTATTCTCGTAGCTTCGTAAATTTACAGTTGAACCACTGATGTCACACGGACTACTTTGTCGATCATCTTGGTACTTTTCTGGACCTTGAACGTGGTAGTTACCTTGCTGTCTATGGGAGGGTCAGAGAGCCCTCAGATTTCATAAAAAATATCTTAAATTGTGTTCCAAAGATGAACGAAGGTCTTACGGGTTTGGAACAACACGAGGGTGAGTAATTAATGACAGAATTTAAATTTTTGGGTGAACTAACCCTTTGACCTCTCAGCCTTCCTGGTTAGTGTTTTGCCATGATATTTGCAGATGCTACCTGAAGTAACACAGAGCCTCATTTGTCTACACTGCTGTGTAAGTTCTGATGAGATGGGCAGGAATGGGGTGTTCAGGCTGGATCGATTGAACATGTGATGGCATCTGGTTTCTTTTGTATCTTGCTCAGAGCTAAAAGGTGAGCTCATTAACTGGACAGCAGAACCAAATGAGCAACAAAAGGGAGGCAAAACAAGACACATTTTATTATGATTAAATAAGAAAATAAACATCTTTACACCTGGCATTAATATCTGTTTACAAATAGAGCTCTTTCCCTCAAAAGGTGCTTACAGGAGATGCATTTTATATGGATTTTGTTCCGCAAAAGAAAAAAGGTCATGCATGTTTGAAAGGTGAGTGAATGATGACAGTATTTTGCTTTTTGGACAACCTGCTACTTTAATATCAAGTGTAAACTAGGCCGAAATGCTAATAAATTGTGAACTGAACATAATAAAAGTGGCTTCAGTTTTAATTTTGTGATGCAGGCATCATAAAACACAGCTAGCTGAGAAATGTAGGCATGAGATTTGTGCTTTGGCAGCATGAGAGAACATATGGGGCGGATGCGAGAGAATGTTGCCTGCAGAATACATGTAGATGTCACAGGTGAAAGTGTTCCGCTGCAGGAGAGATGCAGGTGAGGAACATATACCTTTGATCTGACATTTTACATTATTGGGTGTTTTTCTCATCTGACCTGGCTGGTTTCTTAAGGCTATTGTTGATAATAAGTAGCAGTCATTTAGAAGATACTTTCTTTCCTAAAGAAAGGAAATACATGGTGTTTATTACAGGAACAGTCCTCATGAATTTAAATGTCTTGGTTAAGAGAAGAATGGTGAAAAGAGATCATGAACCAGAACCTTCCAGGAGCCCCATTTGTTAAGATGTGCATATAATGATCCTAAATGTGAATGTACAACAATTTTTTAAAGGGGTCATATGATGCTGTTAAAAAGAACATTATTTTGTGTATTTGGTGTAATGAAATGTGTTTATACGGTTTAAGGTTCAAAAAACACATTATTTTCCTCATACTGTACATTATTGTTTCTCCTCTATGCCCCGCCTTTCTGAAACGCGTCGATTTTTACAAAGCTCATCGGTCTGAAAAAGCGAGGTGTGCTCTGATTGGCCAGCTATCCAGTGCATTGTGATTGGCCGAATACCTCAAGCGTGTGACGGAAATGTTACGCCCCTTACCATATTGTGATGATGCCCTGTCCGGCTGGAGCGATGATTCAAAAACATGAAAACCCATTATAAACGAGGCATTTGTTGCATCCAGTGGGGACATAATTATGGATTATAATGACTTATACTGTCTTTTTACGCGTTGCGTTGCGTTGCGTTGCATCGTAAACATAAAATCATGTCTGCATTTGTGATTGGAGAAATTACAAACAACAAGCCCTACTCTACACTGCCCAAAAAACTTGCTTTAAATATATATATAAAAAAAGTCTTTAAATATAAAAAACGTACTTACAATCTTAGAGTCAGAACAGCCGGCATTGTAGTCTACTCTCCCAGGATCAGTGCCCACAAATATGTTCTTATGGTTCAGTTGGTTGAAGTTGAACTGTTGGTTTAAGTGTAAGAACATTTGAAGAGTTTATTTGCAAAAACTCAGTTTTTAACCATTTTCAAAAATAATGTTTTTCATTGTGCATTCCAATTAATCTCAATCAAACTGCAGTTTGATCAGGTTAAAAAATAACTAAAAAATACAGCTAACTAACACATTCAAAATTCAGCAGTAAAGGAATGCTGGAAATGCTATTGTTGTGGCATTGACGACCTTACATGTGTCTCTTTTCTCTGCTGATTGGCTGTGACGTGCATGTAATGACTTGAAAGAGCAGTTAACAACAAATCTTCATCAGTCTGTTTTGAGATGGACACTAGAAATTCACAGAAAAACGTAAACTGTACAGCTTCACTTGATTGCTCATAAAATCAGTTTTGGTCTGCATTGTTACATTTGAACATTACAAATGATGTATTAAGATGTATTGATCTTAAATGAAATACCTAATTTCCATATCCAACACCACTATATTCTGTTGGAAATTTACATTGATCTTCCAGGAGTGGGGTTCAAACCCACGAGGACATTCATCCATTGGATCGTAAGTCTCTGTAACGGATGAGCGTTGCAACGAAGTGGGGGATCCAAATGCAAGCTTTATTCATAGATGTAGTGAAACAGGCAGGGTCAAAACACCAGCACACAAGGCAAGACAATTTGTTCCTTTTACAGGTACTTAAGAACCAGAAAACTAATTTGATTATAACGTAAACACACACAGCCAAATTACTGTATTCTGTTTAAAACTCACATTGATCTACCAGGAGATGGGTTTGAACCCACGAGAACATTTGTCCAATGGATTTTAAGTCTAACACCTTAACCACTCAGCCATCCTGGTTACTATCCCAGAGATTTCCCTGTTTCCAGAAAACCATTCAGTTGAATCTCTAGTAAACCAGCATCATTATACACGGCAAAAGCAATTTCAGTACCCTCAACCAAACATAACGGAAAGTCTTCAGCCCCCTGTCACTCTGTCCTGTCTTTACGGCTGCATTCCTTTATCCATTTACATGCTCAGTCAGCAAACCATTCGCATCACTGATTTCTCTGTCAGTTTGTTGTTTTTCTATTTAAAACCACCCTAGTAAGCTCTGGTACAGACAGAATCCGTCAAACGCTTGCACTGGTGCGAGCGCTGACAGTGGAGGAGCCCCGGATGGGGAAAGTTGATCCTGATCTTCAGTGCATCGCAGAGAAACCAGCCTATCTGGCATTCCTCTCAGACATCAGAGGATGGGGGATATTCATCTGTGTTTGGACTTGATTCGGGTCATGATATCTAGTTCTGGCATCTCCCATAAAGTCTCACCAAACAGAACCATCTCATATGGCAGTGGGTTTGTCTAAAGCATCTTCTGTCAAACAAAGCTGTGACTTTTGAAAGCTGATTTTGAGAGGCTCATTATTAACCACATGGTGAGTTGTTATTGAGAACTTTCGGTGAGTTCATAAAGAGTCATCTTGCATTGGAACAGCTTGAGTTCATCTGTAAACAACACCCACATTTAGACTGCATGTTGTGCGTTGCGCTGGCAAACTAAAATGAATCAATCTCCAGTCAACCGGAATATAAGCAGGATGGTGGGCAATGCAAATTCTGGCATTTGCAGGAGAAAAATGTCACCTTTCTCAAGGGACAAGGCTGTAACAGTGGCCTTTGGATATAAGAACATTGTGCGTTAAGATATTGATGGGTGTAGATGCTCTATGCGGCTGCTTTTGTGGCGCTCACAGAAAGATAGAGATGAAAGTCAGATATATCATTCGTATTTGTACTGAATAGAACTAATTAAATAAAAACAGTAACTGAAATATAATTGTGCTTTGCGCTCTGGCAAATTTACGTGACATTCTTCTTCCATGATGATGTGAATATTATTAGGAATTTGTTCTAAATGTTTGTGTGAATGATGTTGCCCTTTCATCTCCAGCCTTGCTGTTTCGCACCAGTTCACACGGCGATCGTGATTTGCACCATCAGGGTTTTATGACAGTTTGACTAGATTAAATACCAAGGGCTTCTCCTCCATTATCTTGCTAATGATAAAGCAATTGGTGCATGACTTTCAAGCACGTCTGGATGCTAAATTTGTACATGTATCCATTGAGTTTAACAGATCAAAGCAAGCCTATATTTTCCTCTATCCTGTTTCTTCATCTTTGAGACTCTTTCCATTTCATCCTTACTCTTCTCTAGTACATTTCTGGTGGTTTATATGAATCCTGCGAGTTTGACAGATTCATCAATCTTCTGGACAGTGCAGGCACTGACCTCAAAAAATAAATTATATTCAGTGGCTAATCAATTTTTAACAGCGCTTTCTAAAACTGAGGTGTTAAAGAAAAACACCTTGCAGGCATCACGGAGTGAGCAGAACACATGGGAATTCAATAGTCTGAAATATTCATCCCAATATTCCTGTGATAATTTAACTGTGTAAAACAGAATATCAGTTTACACGGCTAGGAAATGTGACACCAGCGAATGATTCATAACTTTATATTGCATGTAAATGTCTTTTTAATTAAACTTTGCAGACCCTGCCTGGAAGATAACAGATTAAAGGCTGATATAAAGTCCTGTTCTGCTCTTATCTATCTATTATAATGGACATATCAACTGCATGCTTATTGATTCTACAGAGTAATCCAAGAGGGGATCTTTCAGCCCACTATAAAATATGAAGCTTGCTTTCTCTGCATGGCTACAAGCACATATAAGGAGCTGGATAAGGTTTGTGCATTCCCGGTCCATACTTCAAATGCCATGATATAAAAGTGTTCAAATGGCATTTCATCATGACAGTTTTTCAAAACTCGTCTGTAAATATCAGGGAATAAACCATAGCATGCTTATTGAACTGCAAGTTATAATTTTTTTTAAGGTGTAGTCTGTTTTTGATGTCAGGTGATTTATTCAGTGACCGCTCCTATCGATTCATTTCAGGGATGGATTCATCAAAATGTTTCAAATCTGGCTGTAACTTGTCTTTTTGAACTACTCATTAAAAGAAGAGGCTCACTATTCACTGTATATTTTGGATTCACTTAAAAGATCCGGTTCATAAGGGTCAGTTCAGTTCTTAAAACTGACTAGTCTGGTAGCACAGCATGTTTCTGATTCGCTAAAATAAACGGATAAGAGTCATTTGTTTGTGAATCGGTCTACACTGATCGCGCTGTATGTTTTTGATTCACTAAAAAGAACCGACTCCATAAGAGTAATTCAGTCATGAACTGGACTACTGCGTTCCACTGTATATTTATGATTCACTAAAAAGAACCGGCTCCTAAGAATCATTTGTTTGTGAATCGGACTACACTCGTTGCGGTGCATGTGTTTGACTCACTAAAAAGAACTGAATCATTAGAATAATTTGTTAAAGGGGTCATATGATGCTGCTAAAAAGAACATTATTTTGTGTATTTGGTGTAATGAAATGTGTTTATGCAGTTTAAAGTAAAAAAAAACATTATTTTCCACATACTGTACATTATTGTTTCTCCTCTATGCCCCCGCCTTTTTGAAACGCGTCGATTTTTACAAAGCTCATCGGTCTGAAAAGCGAGGTGTGCTGTGATTGGCCAGCTATCCAATGCGTTGTGATTGGCTGAATACCTCAAAACTCGCTTTTGAATCATCAGTGGCAAATCCTTTAAATGAAAACGTACTTACGTGAGTCAGAACTGCCGGCATTTTAGTCTAACGTTACTCTACCAGGATCAGTAAATAGTCCTCCATAAAATGCGTTGCACACATCTGGATATTTGGGTTAAACTGTTTTGGAACAGTGTTGTAAATACCACTGATTTGTAGTCGTGTCCTCTTTTGGAAGACCAAACAAAGTAGTTTCGCTTTCACAACGAAAAACACAGCGGCCTAGCGTGAGGGGAAGCGTGCGCTGAGGCCGGGATAGAGTGAGCTAAGGCTGGGCTAGAGTGAGCTGAGGCCGGGCTAGAGTGAGCTGAGGCGGCGGGGTCGAGAACGGCACGCCCGACAGATCCGACGAATGACCGGCAACCACATGTGACAGACCCCGGGCTGGATTCCGCTTCGTCCACGGTGAAAGTTGATGTATTCCCTCAGCGACCAGCACAGATCAGCTCTAGGCATGATGAAGCGGATATCGTCCTCTTTTGGAAGACCAAACAAAGTAGTTTCGCTTTCACAACAAAGCACACAGCGTCTTTACGACATGGCTGCAGCGTCAACAAAACTACAGTGAGACTAAAAGTTACGGCTTCTTTCTTTGCGTGAACATTTGGGTGGTGTTATGCAAATCTTCTCACATAGTGAGGTAGACATGTGGGGGCGTGTTAGAACGAGCCGTTTTAGGTAGGTGTGGCTGACTCTGAACTTTTATAAAGAATATCTCTTTGGATTTGAGACTTTAGTCTTTGCAACTTTACAGATCTTCTTTATGCACCAAGAGCTTGTAACACTCCAAAGAGAAAGGAAAAATTGAAATCGCGTCATATGACCCCTTTAAAGGGGGTCTAGACTAGTCAGTCTAGTCTTGTCGCGTTGTATGTTTGTTTACGTGTGTACGCCGCCGAAACAACTCGATAGAAAAAAACAACGCCTTTTTTGTTTTCGTTAGCTTATATCAAATTCGAAACAAACCCATTTTGACGACTCAGGTAAAATATTAAGTATTTTGCCTTGGTTATGAAGTAGAAGATTAAGTTTAAGCTACGGGAAAACAATACAGGTAACACTGCAGTCTATACTGGCTCTTCAAGCACTTCAAGAACAAGTTCATATATGCACTAAAATCACATTGAGACCATCTGGTTGAAGGTAATAGCAAATATGGTTAATAAAAGTTAAATTAGAATTGAGAAAAACATCATTTGTTTGCATATCTCATCTGGTTTTTGTTAACGTATACAGTGACATCCATGTTTGAAGTGTCACTCAAGTTTCCAAATACATTTTGGGGCTATTTTATCTTATTTAGGCATGAATAAAATGAGGTTTTATAATGTAATGATGAGAAATAGTAGCTATGTGGGCACCACTGAGTGAGTATGTGGGTTTGGCTCTCGCTCCAGTGTTCTTAAAGATCTGTAATAACCCAGAAGAGAGCATCTCCTTTAATTATTCGTGCTGCTTTATCCAAACTGTTCTCACCCACAAGAGCTGTGAGAGCTCATAGAGAGACCACCACCTCCTCCTCCTCCTCCATCCTGCCGCATATGCTGCCTAATGAGCCCCCCTACCGTGATCTTATCCCTGCTTCTGAAAATCAGAGGCTCAATGCAGGCAATGGGTTGCAAATCCCCAAACAGAAGTAATTCTATTTGTGGTAATGTGTTTTGAGATGCCGGACGTGACTAAACAAACCTGGGAGGATTGGTTATAGGAACAGAAAAAGACATGACTCTTTGTAGTGCAGGGACTGTGGGTGTAGAAAGGGGTTTCATTAAATTCTGTCTGCCAGCACGTTATTAGATCTGAGCCAGTTTGAGGCTATTGGTGTTGAGACTTATCACTATGGCTCAGAGAGGAGCATTACCTCAAAAGTAGACCGTATAGGCTTGTATAGATAAGTCATACTGTATCTACTGTAGCTTCATGGCTAGAAATGCTGCTACGTGGATTAGGGTGATGTACAGGCAGCAATGCATGAAATGACAGTATCATTACAGCGTCAAAGTTCAGGCATTCCTCTTTTCCCAGACTACAAAAGAGCTGTCCTGATTTGTGCGCACATATTCAGCAGGCTAGTCCAGAAGTGTTGTGTGTGATGTGTCCTCAACAATGCACCTCATGCATAATTCAGGTGGAATATGCAAAAGTGTAGGCAGGGTTCGCTTTGCTATTAAATAACACAAGGTTGAAATATTTAACACACCATAATGACATTCCTGGAAGTCTGTTACCATGCAGGGAAGGCAAAAATGTACAGTTTTTACTTGTTCCTTGTAGTTTCCTACTTCTCAGATTTTTTCCTTTAAGAAATTACACTAGAAATGTCATGTGAAGACATCTTGGCTGTGCTCAGATTTGCCAAGATACCAAAGTTTGCAATAAAAAGTCAGAGATTTCAGTATGATCTCATGCATTTCTCATCAAAATCAGACCAAATTATTAATTTAATTTATTTTAACATTTTATTCTCTTATCGTATGTCAGCATTTAGCTTTTGTATTTGTATTTGTATTTCTGCTAAGGAAATTTTGGAGTAACATCTGACAAGTTGAAATTCAAATTAAATTATTTATTTTTTAAATATGATTTTAAATAATATATATGAATTCATTTGTGTGTAATGCACAATAATTATATACATTATTTGGTGTATTATTAATAATAATAATAATACTTTTCTATGCCAATTTAACTATTACACACGTCATCTTTGAGGGTTCAGAAATGTATTAAATATAAAAAATGTTGATATATATATTTTAATTTCATTAAAGAAATGAAAGCATAATGGGTATTAACTAATTCTAGCTATTGTTCTGATTTATAATTGAAAATAAAATGGAAATAGTTTGTCAGAAATTATATAAAATAAAAATAAAAAAGTTAACCTAAATGTTTTATTTCATTAAGGTAATAAGGAAATAAAAGCATAATGGGTACGAATTAATTCTAGCTATTGTTCTGATTTAAAATTGAAAAAAAATGGACATAGTTTGTCATTTAATATATTGATATTAGTGAAATCCACTTGAACTATTATAAGATTATCTCCCCTGTCAAGAGTCAATAACAGGGAAATTTCCTCTATAAGATCTCATCTGTTATTGATCCATAAATGAGAAAAAATAAGTCTTGAGAGATGCTGTTTTATTATCTTTGTGCACTAAACCAATCAAGATGAACCAATAATCACAGTGCCTAAGAACAAATAGATGCCTGAATGACTATCTATCAGAATACTCTAGAGAAGCAATTTTCCTGCTTTATCGAAATGTCTATCAATGTAACGATGGTGGCATTATAGTTGCTAATCTATATGGCATCGAGATTGGATTTCTATGGTAATTATGTCTGCTGCTTTGATTTTGGCTTTGCATTGTGAAGACAGGCGAAACTGCTGTACTGTTCTAGGGTCAGAAAAAAAAATGTTGTTTGAATATGTGCTTAACTTGAAATGTAATCTTTAATGCTTTGATTTCAGTAATTACATTTCACAGCGTGACAGATGTTATAACTGCCCCTTGAGCTTCTCTGTGACCACATTTCCGTATCTCCATAATAAGCAAGGACTCAGAGAGAAAGCGTATTAGTCACAGTTTATAGAGAACCAAGGAGCATTTGCTTCTGGGAGGCTTTTATAAATGGGATGATGCATTCAATAGGTCATCATTTCATCCGGGACTCATACTTTGGAATAACTTGAGGGTGAGTAAATGATGCCAAGATTTTCATTTTTGGGTGAACTATCCCTTTAAAGACTGTGCTAAGCATTAAACATGCTGCCACTAGTGTCACCAAATGTATTGTTTCATTGCACAAAGCAACAGTATGCTCTTAATAAATGGACAGTCCCTCTGGAGCAGCCTGAGGTGCCTTACAATGCTCATTAAGGTTAAAAGCAAAATGGCAGTTGCTTATATGTGACCCTGGAGCACAAAACCAGTCTTAAGTAGCACGGGTATATTTGTAACAATAGCCAAAAATACATTGTATGGGTCAAAATTATCGATTTTTCTTTTATGCCAAAAATCATTAGGATATTAAGTAAAGTTTAAGTTCCTTGAAGATAATTTGTAAATTTCCTTCCGTAAATATATCAAAACTTAATTTTTGATTAGTAATATGCATTGCTAAGATCTTCATTTGGACAACTTTAAAGGCGATTTTCTCAGTATTTTGATATTTTTGCACCCTCAGATTCCAGATTTTGTCCTATCCTAACAAACCATACATCAATGGAAAGCTTATTTATTCAGCTTTCAGATGATGTATAAATCTCAATTTTGCAAAATTGACCCTTATGACTGGTTTTGTGGTCCAGGGTCATATATGTCACCCCCTCCTGGGATTTGAATATGCAAGATTACCAACCCAGATCCTTTACCACAAAGCATTACTGGGTAGTTGATAAAACATGGACAAGAAGTCATTGCGGCTATGCAGAAGATCTCTTTTACACACCAAAAAAAAATTATCTAATTTTAAGAAGTTTTAAATAAATAAAATGTGTTTTAAATAAAATAACATTTATTCATTTAGCACACTTTTTTAAAGTGACTTTCGTTTATACTTTGAGCAAAATATTGCTATTAAATGAAAATATCTGCTAGTGCAGTAAGACACTTTTATAAAATATACTGTACTGTACATTCTCTAAAAAGAAGTCTTAATGTGTTATGCAGTGTTGCTTCTCATGTTTTGTTTGTTTAAATAATTTGAGATATTTTTTATCAAAAAAGCCAGAAATATTTAAAGGGGTCATATGATGCTGCTAAAAAGAACATTATTTTGTGTATTTGGTGTAATGAAATGTGTTTATGTGGTTTAAGGTTTAAAAACACATTATTTTCCACATACTGTACATTATTGTTTCTCCTCTATGCCCCGCCTTTCTGAAACGTGTCGATGTTTACAAAGCTCATCGGTCTGAAAAAGCGAGGTGTGCTCTGATTGGCCAGCTATCCAGTGCGTTGTGATTGGCCGAATTCCTCAAGCATGTGACGGAAATGTTACGCCCCTTTCCATATTGTGATGCGTGCAGAAACCACATGTGATGACCCCGGGCTGGACTCCGCTTCGTCCACGGTGAAAGCTGCTCCGGCGATCCACAGCGCGACGTTATTTCCTCAGCGACCAGCACGGATCAGCTCCAGGCATGACGAAGCGATATCGTCCTCTTTTGGAAGACCAAACAAAGTAGTTTTGCTTTCACAACAAAGCACACAGCGCCTTCACGACATGGCGGCGGCGGCAACAATGCTACAGCGAGAATAAAAGTTATGCCTTCTTTCTTTGCGTGAACATTTGGGTGGTGTTATGCAAATCTTCCCACATAGTGATGCAGATATGTGGGGGCGTGTTAGAACGAGCCGTTTTAGGTAGGTGTGGCTGACTCTTAACTTTTATAAAGAATATCTCTTTGGATTTGAGACTTTAGTCTTTGCAACTTTACAGATCTTCTTTATGCACCAAGAGCTTGTAACACTCCAAAGAGAAAGGAAAAATTTAAATCGCATCATATGACCCCTTTAATTTAATTTAATTATATTCATTTATATCATTTAATAACTTTAATTTAAGTCATATCATTTTTTTTTTCTTTCAGTTATTTTTTGCAGTGCATGAATTTGATTGGCTGTGCTATGTTTCCTGGCAGGCAGAGGTTTGTGCGGGAACTGTGGCTGAGGTCATCCAGTCTGTGGTCAATGGAGCAGACGGCTGTGTGTTTTGCTTCGGACACTCCAAACTAGGTAAGAGACAAACAGCTGTGACCTAAATAAATAAATGAAAAATGTATATATATAAATATATTTATAATATATATATATATATATAGGGTTCAGGGAGACTAGTGTCTTTCTAATATATCAACATCAGCCCATCTCAAAGAAAAATGCTTTAGTTGCCCTTTACTAATACCTTGTAAGTGCTTTTCAGGCAGACATTTTTCTTGCCTTTTTAAAGAATGTCACACTGTGATGTTTCTATCTCCATCTCTCAGATGTGTTTTATGTTCAATAAATAACCATCCCCTCCCCGACCGTCCCATACTCAACTGTTCACATCCTGTGAATTAGATGGAATTAGTTTTATAGCACGCATGGTAGACCACAAGATGATCTCACCCTGTTTCGCCGTCATTGTCCATTGTTGTTTCTGGAAGATTAGTGAAAAATTGAACCAGCCATTTGCGCAGAAAACAATGGAAAAATGCCACTGTGGTTGCTGGTCAGTGATTTGATGACAATGTGTAATGCCTCAGATGCCTCGTTTCTATTAACCTTTACTTGAAAACCAAAGACTGGCTCATACATCATTGGAAAAGCATTCTAGGGTGATTTCATTGGTCAGCCATGCAAAGCTAATTAACTAGCCATAATAACCCAGAGACTGGCCTGTTAGTGCTTTAGAAGTAATTACCTTGGACATTTGGCTTGAAAAAGTGGTTGTATAAAACAAGAAACAAAAGAATCATGGTGAACTTGAGCGGTGTGAGGAGCACACCCCTGGTCACCACTGGTGCTTAAGTGCATTACTACCTAAGATGGAATATTTTTAGATTTATCTAGCTTGAACACATAGCTCTGTTTTTGACCTTCAAATCAACTAGAGAGTGCAATATTAATCATGCATAATACTGCCTGACCTCTAGATCCTGTATGTCATGCTGGTTGTGAGGATGCAGGGGCCGTATGGTGAATATTAAAATACTCTAGCGGTGCTCTGGAATGAAGCTTTATCTCCTGTCCTGAAACTGCCTGATCAGCCTGGAGGCTTATTTATGCTTTATTGCAATAAGTCAGAATCCATAAAATTGAAGGACAAGTTGAAGCCTATATAATGGATTTGTGTGTGTAACATTTTTAAGAGAGATGCTGTAGTAATTGAATCTCGTAAGCTCTGCCTTCCCATCATGCCACTCTCCATCCAGTCTGATTGAATTACTGACTCTCAGTTCATCTGCGATGGAGCATCCGTCTTATTTTCGCCTGGAAGTAAAAGCCCAGCGACTTTAATTGATGTGAAAGACCATTTTCAACAGAGCATGTTTGATATGTTACATTCAGGACATAAAATAAATAATGAAATGAAAAAAGAAAATGCATCAAATCAAATAATAATAAAAAATAAATATAATTAAAAGTACATAAAATAAAAATAAATTCAATTAAATAAATGTAATCATATAACGTAATGAATGCACTTTTGGTTATGCTTTTGTTTTTGTTGGATTTTAATGCAGTGTAATACATTAAAATGCATGATGACAAATTACATGTTAGCTAGGTGGACAGGTATTTCACATCATAGCTGTATTTAGCTAAATAGTAAATATGTAGCATGTATTTTAGCACGTCTGGAATGCTGTATTAAACCAATCAGTATCCAGAACTATTTTGTTGCCTGATAAATACCTTTAACTCTTAAATGTTTTAACGTTCAGTGGTGGAATCAGTGTTGTTATTGTGAACTAAAACCAAAACCCACTGCAACTAAATCAAACATTTTTGTTTTGTTTTCATTAAATATGAGATGAAAACTTAAACTTAAAAACTGGCAATCAACTGAAATAAAATACACTGAAGTACTAAAATTACAAAAAAAAAATATTTTTTTTTTAGAAAAGAGTAATAAAAACACCAAAAGCACATAAAAATGACAAAAATTAAAACTAAAATATAAAAATAAAAGCTATTTTAAAAATATTAATAAATACTATAATAGTATATAAATAATACTAAAATAGCACTTTGTGGGAAAATATGGAATGAAATCTGTTGTAATGGACCAGAATGTAAAGGTATATTGATAAAAAAAAATGTATCCAGTTTTTTCCATTAGCAGCTCCCTTGTGAAATCAATGAAGAACACTGCCACAACAGTAAACACTTTCTTAAACATGAAAGTGGAAACTTAGAATAACCATCTTTTTAAAAAACAAAGTATGAAAAATCTACTCCAGGTGTGTCATATTAAATCATTAATAAATGTATTATCTGCTACAACTGCACCATTGCAGGACTAGCTTGTTTTTTTATGAATTGTTGGGATGTTTGAATGAACCGTGCAAATGAGGGTATTTGTCCTCTTTTTTTGTATATTTCCTCTTTCTCGCTCTCTTTCCCACCCAAACTAGAGGAATCCGTCTTTTGAAGTTCAATCTGGTCTGAATGTGTGCTGTGACATATGGCCTTGTTTAGTGGCCACTTTCATGTCAACAGTAGGGGTATTTATGCAAGTGATGTCCAGAAATGAATCCAGGGACGCTGCCAATCAACAGGCTGTTGTTCCGGTTCTGGTCCTGCGGGTGAACCTGCGTTTAATGCCCAGTGCTGCCCACACGGTGCATGTGCTTAATCAACCACACTAAGACATATGGCAAATGTCAGTGGACTGTCAAACCGAGGGCTTTTCTGGAAATAAAAACCCATTTAAGGCAGACAAAACATTTTCGTGATAAGGCACAGTGCATTTTCCGACCGTATTTCTAAGCGTGATTATGCTAATCTTGTCAGTTTTCCAGCTTTAATGGATTTTTAATTGTATTGGAAGGTGTTTGTCTAGCGTGTGTGTGACATCTGTCACTGTGGCTTATGCCAGAGTGCTGGTCTGCAAGCTAAATATCATATTAGAAAGTGTGAAATAGACCACACGTATTGGCGTAATGCTCCCGAGGCCAAACAGGCACCATGGCTTTTAGCACCTGACCTATTTTAACTATCGTTCCAATCTATGCTTTTGAAAGGCCTACCAATCGTTCATAGCACAAGAGATGTGATTGTATGCAAAGCGATCCATCGTTAACTCAATCCTTGGTCTCATCGCAGGCAAATCCTACACTATGATTGGCAAGGACGACTCCATGCAGAGTTTAGGGATCATCCCGTGTGCCATCTCCTGGCTCTTCAAACTGATCAACGAGTGCAAGGAAAAGACAGGCGCACGTTTCTCCGTACGAGTGTCGGCTGTGGAGGTCTGGGGAAAAGACGAGAACCTGAAAGATCTGTTGTCGGAGGTGGCGACAGGCAGTTTGCAGGACGGTCAGTCTCCAGGTGTCTACCTTTGCGAGGACCCCATCTGCGGGATGCAGGTAAAATAGTCATTCTGATCATTAATGTTGTTATAATGTCTTGAATTATACAGTATATTGTTGATGTAAGGGATTATAATCATTGATTGATGTTAAAATATTGTGAAAAATCTCTTATGTCAGTATAACCATTTCCTTTAAAATTCATTATGATGTGAATAACATGCTACTGTAAATTAGACTTTTTGATTTCCCTAAAAATGTCAAAACTGTTCCACTATGAAAACCGTAACTTTGTCTCAACCAGTGCTGTGGGTTTGAGGCCAGTGTTATTTTACTATTGTTTAGATACTATTATAGTATTTATTATTATTTTGAAATAGCTTTTACCTTTATATTTTCAGTTTTCGTTTTAATTTTTGAGTTTAGGTTTTAGTCATTTTGTTGTGTGCTTTTGTCATTTTATTGTAATTAGTTTTTATTTCTAAATAGCTTTAATTCATTTTTATTTCATAGTTTTACTTATTTCAGTAATTAACAAGGTAACATTAAGTTTGAGTTTTTCATCTAATATTAATTTAATTTTATTGAATTTTTCCGAAAATTAGTTTTAATAGTTTGAGTTTTAGTTGACAGTAACAAGAGTTAACAGTTAACAACAGTTTAGGGCAGGACTTTTTGTTTGCCTGACCAATGGTAGGCAGGGAAAGTGTTTTGCTCTTCTGTTTGCTAGTGATGTAAAAATTACACATTTCGACTTTAAGATCCTTTATGACATGTTCCCAAAGATTCATGCTTTTCTTTTTATTGCTAATACAAATAGTCCCAGATAATTCAATTGGGGAAAAAAAGTTTAACAATATTGGCACACTTATTGCCTGTAAGGAACTGTCCTTATTCTGGGAATACCCCCAGTGTTAAAAAAAACAAAACAAGTTTGGCAATCAACTTCCAATAAAGATGCCATTGTTGGGTAAAATGCTAATACATGATGAGAAGATTAGTCGAGCAGAGACAACCCCTGTCTCTGTAATCCTCAGACATGTGCACTAATCTAATCTTGGACTGATACCTCACAGTAATGGATTTTAATGCCCTCACTTCTCCTGTTCCTGTGACAGTCAGCCTTATCACACAGAGCCGGATTCAGACATGATACCCGAGGCTCTGCTGACATGATTATTGCCCAATAACAAATAGAAGAATTTCTTTTTAGATATTAAGACGTAGCTGAACTGACACCGTTTTAATGCTTTCTTTTATTTTCTGTAGTATTGTTAATAGTGGCCGACCAATATGGAGTTTTTTTTTTAAAGCCGGTGTCCGATAGCCGATATAGTCGGTAGCCGATAGCACACATTTTTTTTTTTTTTAAATTTATTTAATATTTAACACTTTAATTTTAGTGCTCATCAGCCAAACAAAAACTTTGTGTTTGATGTGATAAAAAAAAAGGCCAAATATCAGCCCATTTATCGGCCTAATTGTTAAATTGCTGCGTTTGGAGTACAAAGTGAGTATTGTTTCTCAAACCAGATGTTCTTTTAGCCAAAACTGTGCAATACAATTCACATTTGCATCCTTTGTTTTTACACAGTTACAGAATCAGAGTGAGTTGCGTGCTCCTACAGCTGAGAAGGCTGCTTTCTTCTTGGATGCTGCCATTGCTGCACGTTACAGCAGTAAGCCAGACTATGACGAAGAGGAGCACCGTAACTCTCACATGCTCTTCACCCTACACATCTACCAGTATCGAATGGAAAAGACCGGCAAGGGTGGAAGTGAGTATCGTTATGGGTTAGATGGAGTTTCAGAAGAGACTCAACATGAACTAGAGCAGGGGTTCTCAACTGGTTTTTGGTCTGTGACCTATTTTTTAGGCTCTAAAATTTTGGCTATTGCTAGTTTAGCTGGTTAAGATACTTTTATGATGGACACCAGCATCTACAACACAAAATAAGTTGGTGATCAGCTGTACTTGTGTTATCAGCAGTATTTGCTCTCTTCCACGGTTGATTTAGAATTTTCTCATTATACTTCCAAATGTTGCCTGTGAGGTTTATAAATAGTCTGTTGCTGATAATCTTAGAGAGGGGTGTGATAACAGAAAAAAACCCTGCCATTGTCAATGTGAGATGTACAATCTAATCTAAAAGCTGTCATGCTAAAACTAGTTATTTCTGGAGAACAGTGCTAATTTCTCTTATCATAAGAAATGTTCTGTTTGGCATAAGCGAGTCCTGCCCTATTCTGAGAGTGAATAGAAAGTAAAACCAGATGTGTTAGCATGGGCTTTTAGGGTATTTGAGAAACTCAAATTACCTCCAAACTGTGTATAATGAAGCTAGTGTAAGCAGAGTCATGAAATCCACTCTGGATGTTTCCATGGCTAAGGTTAACTTGTATAATAGAAACACAGAGAGATATAATGTCACCATTTGAAATATAGGTTCATTAACCTCAGCGTCTTCGCTAATAAGTTCCATTTATCTTTATTAGTCTACCATTAGGTTACAGTAACACTTCATAATGGAATTAGATGCTCATCATGAGGTTTTTGACAGTGTTTATACCTTACATAGTTTCGTTACATTCTATTGCTTTTCCAGTTTCTTTGCAAGCTTGATATTTTCTTATTTTATAGCTATTTAAATATTGTACCTTGCATTGTCAAAATTACATATTTTATTATGTGTAAATATATGTATATATGTATAAATATATAAACAATATTAGCCTATTAAGAATTTAATTATTAAATCTGACTCTGTGGCTCTTTTGTTTAGTGTCGGGAGGCAGGAGCCGACTGCACCTCATCGATTTAGGCAGCTGTGTTAAGGTTTTGAGCAAGACCCGTGACAGCACTACAGGACTCTGCCTCTCTCTGTCTGCCCTGGGGAACGTCATATTGGCTTTAGTCAACGGCAGCAAGCACATCCCTTACAAGTAAGACTTTTACCTTTCACTTTGCTCATATCATATAATTTCAGTCAAAAACTCATTGGGTTAGACTTTTCAGTCTCATGCTGATATGTTGTAACTAGGGTTGGGCCGATAGACGATGCCATCATCCATCGGCGATGGCTGACAGAAATCATGATGTTAAGCTGACATCTTGACCCCCCCCCCTCCTCCCGCAATCCGCCGTATCCCAGTTCCGTGTTCGGAAAGGAAATTAAGTGTACTACGGAAACCCTAAAGGGAATAAATAGCCTACGAGATGGAAGGATAAAAAAAAAATGTCAATACTTTTTCTTGCAATTATATCGTTGGTTAAGTTTAGGCGACTGTATATAAATTGCGAGCATCAGGGAGCCGCTATTGAAACCGCTTTCAATTGCACGCTCTCATTTTACTTTCACTTTCACGTTTGAGATTCTTGATCACAAGGACTCTATACTATGGAGCGGCAGTACTTACCACACATTTGACAAGATTGGATGTTTGTCATTGGTGCTCAGGATCATTCGCCATCGTCCTATCAGACATTTCTCCTTACTTTTTTTTTTACAGTAACTTTCATGTACTATAATGCAACAGGCTACCACTAGCAAGCGGCTAACCTTTTAGTGGCTCTGTATAACATTTTTTTTGTTTCATGCTTCGGGCACACCTCTAACCACCCCCCAGTGATGTTTCACTGTAGACATCGTCCGATGCCAATTTGGTAGACATCGCCCAACCCTAGTTGTAACCTCAATGACAAGATTACGTTTATACTGTTATGGGTGAAGTCATTTCGCCACTTGCTAAACTCATTAAAGATGCAACATGTTTAGCCTTCATATCTCTGCTGCATGCTGTTAATTCTTCTCAAGCACACCTCATATGAATAATATATACAAACTGACATTTTCCAGCCTTTGATGTGAGCAATTATTGGTGGATTCTAATGCTACGTTGAATCTGCAGAGAGAATGTAACCTTTATCGCTCCTCAGGGGTAATAGCTAAGTGAATTAGCTTGTGCCAAGCAGCCATAGAGACAGATGCAGTTTCATATTCACTGGGATTTCTCTGCAACTGCTGTTTTATTTCTTTAAGCAGCATGTTAATTTCAGTTAAACAGACAACTTTGAGAAGGTGCCGTGCATCTTCCATCAGCTTTTTTTCTAAAAATTTGCAGCGCTTCAATTTAGCTCCCTCAAGCCACTTTTGCATTTTTATGCCATGGCTCCCTAATTTAATCATGGCAAATTTACATTGCCAAGCATCATGGGGGTTAAGGCTGGAAACGCAACAGCTCTTGAGAGCTGAGATGTAATTAGGGTTTAGGGCCTTTTAGGAGGAATGCAACATTTGCACAAGATAAATTTAATTAATATGCATGTATCATAAATGAATATAAATCTACACAAGTCACTAATTTTAGATAGTGATTTAATTAGTGCTAAATAACATTTTAGTTGCTTTTTATCTCTCTAATTATATGACTTAACCTCTCTGATTTAATGTCAAATGTACGATATTGTTCAGAATTATTATCAATTCATTATTAGTTATTGATTTCACACTAGAATGCGTTGTCCAGTTTGTGGCATAATATTAGTAGCAATAACCACAAACTGTAACTGTAAAAAGTGTTTTACATATTTTGCCAAGGGGGTGAATGTTATTTAATGGGATATTTCAGATAACTTTATTTTTGTTACATCATTGTTAGTAAATTATGCTTGTATAATCTGTGCTTAGTTTTCATGTGATCACTGAACCACTTAAGATTGACTACACACTTCACTAACTATTTTTAAGCATCTAACTTCAAGCAAATTAGCAAAGAGTATCACTGTAATTATATTACTTTACACTCTGTTGTATTCTGTGATAATGTTTTTGCTTCAAATTATTGTATAGGTCATTGATTTCTGAGAACTGAGAATGTGCATGTGCATATCGTAATGCTAGCTGACTCATCCTTGAAAAGCAGCTTTATATGTCACCTCTAATGGTTGCCATGGGGAAGGCAGACAGAACAGGAAATGCCAATCCAAGTCTCTCTTTCTCTGTAAAAAGAGACTGTCTGGCAGCCAAGGTTTTAGAATCAAGGTCAGCAAATAAAATGCCCAAAAGGGTCTATCCATTCTTATTATTAAAGTGGGTTGCATTACACGATTAGATTGATTGCTAGAAGTGGTGCAGGTATTCACTGAAAAGGAGTTATTTCCAAAAGCCTTGATTTTTGAATGCATCTAGCATTTTCCAAATACATTTTATTCTGAAATGGTTAACTTATTTGACAAATCACGTATCTTCACTTTTAATCATTTGGTTACACAACTATCATTTTGCCAGCTAATAGTCTCACGTAGCCAGACCTTCAGACTGATGGTAGAAGGTCTGGGAACCTTGCAGCGCTTTGATTGGCCAAGGACCCCCCAAGAGGCCATATGACTGACAGGTTAAGCAACTCATGTTTAGGGGTGTGGAAATGTCCCGACAACAAGAGATATTGGACGTATTTTAAAGAGTCTATTTCCGTGAACTACAAATTTCACATACTTTTGAAAATCCAGCGTTTAGTTGATCCTGATAAGCGCTTATTGTCACAGCTGTAAACACAACATCCTTCTTCTTCCATGAGGGGTCTGGTGCCACGGCATCTTTGTTTCCAGGTATAATGTTAAAGAATGTGTCACACACGTCTCCCGTAAATCCTGTATAATTCAACCAACCAGATTAAGACTTCGAAACTCCTGAAGTGTTTCCAATTTTGTGTGCCATATGCATCAGACGTTCATGGGCACGATGTCTGAGGCTGAGACTAGTCAGCTAATGCGCTTCCATTTTTTTGTTTACAGAGATAGTAAGCTAACCATGCTGCTACGTGAGTCCCTGGGAAACATGAATTGTCGCACCACCATGATAGCCCACATCTCCTCGTCCCCCAACAACTTCTCAGAGACACTCTCTACCCTTCAAATCGCCTCTCGTGTTCTTAGGCTGAAGAAGAAGAAGGCTAAAGTAAGCGTGGTATGACCCTGTCATTTTATTGAACTTTCTTTTAGCATAGAATGATGCATCATTGTATTCTATGTTTATTTGTTTAAAATGCAGTATTTTTTTGTCTTCTGTAGCAATACACATCCAGTTCCTCTGGTGGTGAGAGCTCATGTGAGGAAGGAAGAATGCGTCGCCCAACACAGCTGAGAACCATTCATTCTAGAAATGTTGTTGATTCAGAAATGCCCCTGCTACACCTCTCCAGTGACCCTGAAGACTATTCCAGCAGTGAGCAGTCATGTGACACAGTTATCTACGTAGGTCCAAATGGCTCAGCCCTCTCAGACAAAGAGCTAACAGACAACGAAGGTCCTCCAGAGTTTGTTCCTATCATCCCATCCCTACATAAAAATAAAGCAGATCTTAGCATGACTTCTTTGACATCACAACCAGCTCAACAGGTTGTAGCCCCACTAGTTCAAGCCTCACAGTCTGTCCAACCTTTGCAGACTGTTCATCCCCAGCCACTTCCACCTTTGCCAGAGGAAGGTGCTGAGCCAGGTAAAAAGGAGAAAGACTGTCTTAAGTGTAACACTTTTGCAGAGCTCCAAGAGAGGCTGGACTGTATTGATGGAAGAGAAGAGGTTACGAAATTCCCTTTTGAAGAAGACCCTGCCGACAGAGCTGCCAAATTTGAGCCTGGCCATGGTCAAGTCATAACAGGGGGTCAGCAGTCCAGTTCTCCTAAGAGGATATCTGACCAGCAACTGGAGGAGATCCGTGAGGTGGTTGAAGAAGCAGAGATCGCTCAGTCAATAATTGAAAGCTTGACACAGTCTTCAACAGGCAGTTGTGGACTCTCCAGCAGCAGAAGTGTGACTGGCAGCAGCGGTATTGGGCAACTAACTCCTCTTCACAGAGCCAAGAGCTCCAGTTTACATGACAGCAGAGAATCCATCAGTGGTGGGAGCAGCAGTGAGAGTAAGCCTCGTCCTATGGGCTCCCCACGGTTGGGGATTGCCAGTCTTACTAAAACCTCAGAGTACAAACCACCATCCTCTCCCTCTCAACGCTGCAAAGTGTACACCCAGAAAGGAGTAATGCCTGGCACACCACCACACTCCTCACATAATCTCAATAAAGACTCTAGAAAATCATCTACAGAGTCTTTGCTTAATCCTGAGTCTAGAACCTCTCCGGTGGGGATGAGCCCACAGGTCCTAAAGAGATCTTCATCATCCAATAGCCTTGGATCAGCTGAGACACTGTGTGATGATGTTCCCCAGCTGCCTTTGGACAATAAGAAAAATGCGAAGGACACCACAGCCACAGTTACACTGGAGCATCCTTTGGAACCCAATGGAGAGGATGAGCTGGTGTTTACCCTGGTGGAAAAGCTGACAATTAGTGGGGTGATGGAAAATGGCAGACCAACCAGCATTATCAGCTTTAACAGTGACTGCTCGGTGCAGGCTATGGCATCGGGTTCAAGGCCTGTTAGCATCATTAGCAGCATGAGTGAAGACCTAGAACATTACACCACTGCTCCCTGCACTACCACTGCCACTATCTCACAAGTCAACATTTCTAAATTCCTGCCTCTTAGCAAGATAGAAGGGTACGCCCAGGCTAGTCGTCGTTCCTCAATCAGCTCATGGCTGAGTGAAATGAGTGCTGGCAGTGATGGTGACCAGTCATGTCATAGCTTTGTTGCCCAACAGTGCTTTGGGCAAGGTGAGGCAATAGCGGAAGATAGGCTTTTAGAAATTCAAGAAGAAGGAGACATAGACCCTGAGTCAAATGACCAAAAGAACTCAGACAAAGAGAGTGATTCCAATACAACTGAAGTGAATGATAAAAACACAGCTAAACATAAACTAGACAAGCTGTCCTCAACCTCAAGTGGCTATGTTCCTTTTAAGACCAACATCACAACTCACCCATGTGCCGCTGTTAAGCCAATGGTTGTGCAGGGCTTGCAAACCAAAACCCCTCTAGTCAAAGATCCCAAATCCCCACCTGTTCCAATGTCAAGTGAGATAAATTTTGATGACCCTTGGATGAAAAGGGAGGGATGTGAAGAGACCAAGCCTTTGGACATGGTCTGTGATATTAAGTCAGAGAAGAGAACATCGGAATCTGTAAAAAGGAAATGGCAAGTTGACAAGCTCAACTCGAGTGAAGCAGCATGTTCCCCTGATTCCATGAACCGGGTGGTGGATGGCTGTGAGATGGTATTCAATGCACCTGAAAGCATAACTCAAGTGTACTCTGCAGACATCCTCAGAACGGGTAGTCTCCCTCGTGCATGGCATCGCTTGAATAAGCAGGACGATCTGGAAGACCCTACATACCGTTACATGAGTGGAGAGTATAAAAGCCTTGGGGTTACCACCTCCACTCCCTGCAGTCCAAGAGCCACACTCGAAAGAAGATGTTCAGCAGGGAGGCAAGGTATCTTTGCTCGTCAGAAAGGAATCCCACCATTGCCACCTGTAAGGAAGTCTAGCCTTGACCAGAGGAATCGAGCAAGTCCACAGCATAATCCAGGAAATTCTCAGACATCAAACCATCATCTGTCTTTCCTTGGCAGCACACCTGAAGACCTGGTTGGTAAACATAAAGGACCAAATATTGAGAGCAGCAGACTCTTCAGTGCCAAACTTGAGCAGTTAGCAAACAGAACCAATTCCTTAGGGAGGTCTCATGGGGCACATTATGACTGTCATTTCTTAGAGAGGGCGGAGAGTTTGACCTCTCTGGGCTCTAAAGGAGGAGTTGCAAAAGACAGTACAATGCCAAGGACAGGTAGGAGCATCAACCGCAGTTTGCTTTCATCACCTACCAATGGACCAAATGGTAACAATAATGCATCACAATCACCCAAAGCAAGTCAATCCAAAATCTCTGCAGTTAGCAAACTCCTTATGGCAAGTCCCAAAGCTCGAAGCTTGTCAACCTCCAGCACTAAGACCTTAAGTTTCTCCACCAAGTCCCTTCCACAATCAGTAAACCGAAGCTCAAGTTTGCCTCCTAACGGAAAGAACCAGAACCAAAATTCATGGTCAACCCAGTCCCTAAGTCGCAGCAGGGGGACAGGGTTAGCATCTAAGCTACCTTTAAGAGCAGTGAATGGACGAATCTCTGAGCTCCTACAAGGTAGCGCCAGCTCTCGTGCTGCCCAAGGACGAGGGGCTTCAGACACTGAAGAGAGAGGAGCAGCAGTCCAAGGAGAGGAAAGGCCAGTGGTCCATACTTTGCCCTCACCTTACAGTAAGATCACTGCCCCAAGAAGGCCTCACCGTTGCAGTAGCGGACACGCCAGTGACAACAGCAGTGTGCTAAGCGGAGAGCTTCCTCCTGCAATGGGAAAGACTGCTTTGTTCTACCACAGTGGTGGCAGCAGTGGCTATGAGAGTATGATACGAGACAGTGAGGCCACAGGAAGCACATCATCCGCTCAGGACTCTATGAGTGAAAACAGCAGCTCTGTCAGTGGTCGCAGGAGCCTCAAGAATTCAAAGAAAAGATGTAATACAGGTAAGCAAATATTAGATGCTTAAAACTATGCTTCTTTATGATTAAAATCTAGAATGCAACATTATTTTATTTACAACAAGATATAATGTATTACAATGCACATTATGAATAATTATAATGTATTATACCCTTTAATAACCCTTTATAATGCATTATACCTGAAGGCTTTAAGTAAAGTGTTAGCAATTATTTCTTTTACTAATTAATTGTTGTGTAATACAAAATATCCAAACACACCCACACACACACACATTTATCTTTTTTCTTTACTTTTATTTTCTTCTGTGTGTATAGTCTGCTTCTCAAGTCTGGCAAGTGTATTCAGTGGCTCATCATTTCATCCATCTTTCTACAGTTCAGCAATACAAAGATCTCAGCACAATTAATGTAATCCCTGATGCTCAAGAAAATTTATTGTACTACAAAGCTTTCAGGACTCATTCCAGATTATACTTGGAAGAAACAAAACTTTTTAAACAGCTCTACTCCCCGTACACGCTTGGATGATCTGTTATGATACCGACTGATAGCAGTTCCCAAACTTAGCTGTGGGTGGTCTTTCAATATTTAGTGCTGCCTAAATTCCTGAATACACACCTCCTCTCCCGTTTCCTCAGGCAAAGAATTTCACTCTATTTCTCACCACCACAAACCTTTGCATGGTGGGAAAACTGAAAATTTAAATCCTGGCTCTGGAACAACAGACACAAAAGCTAGACCAGTACACGTTGAACCGCAAAGAAAAGTAGTATTGTAATCATGTTGCGAATATCTTACCTGAAAAGGTCTTTGCAAGGATATAAAACCACAACGTACAGTTAAAATTTACATCAACTGCCAACTGCCAATGTTCTCCTGGACGCAGAGCATTCTCTCTCCAGGGCAATGAGGGAAGACTGAAAGTTTGACCTTTTCGGTGCTGTTTTCAGACCAAATGACAAGCTGAAACACATTAATATTACCTTGTTCCTTGGTTTTAAATCAGATAACTTATCAGCAGACCTGGAACTGTCAATTTATATGCAAATAAGGGAACCACTTCTGGCAAATTCCTCATTGTAGACTTCGTTCCTCCAGACTGGTCAGACAAGATACTGTCCTGCTATTATCTCAGTGCTTTTTTTCATTACACGTCTGCATCGAATTGGTAGGAGTGCGGATTTGTGTAGGATAAACTTTGGCTCAGCACTGTAGCACACTTTGAAACTCTCTTTTTACCTGGTTTCATTATAAAACAACTCAAGATTGATAAAATATGTTTACATAGTGTTCATAAAATGACATTTCATCCCTAGGGTCCCAGAGACGCCGTCTAATTCCTAACCTCAGCTTAGACACCTCCTCTCCAGTGAGAAAGCCGGTCATCAGTCCAGGGGTACGCTGGGTGGACGGTCCCCTCCGGCCCACACAAAGGGGTTTAGCTGAACCTTTCGAGATTAAGGTTTATGAGATTGATGATGTTGAACGTCTACAGAGGAGACGAACCGTAGGCAATAAGGTAAGAGTGAGCAGCAGTGTTTTTACTGCACTTCTCTTGACCGTGCTCTCACTTATTGTTGTTGTGCCCTCAGGAAGTGGTATACTTTAGTGCCAAACTGAAGATCTTAGAGTATCGGCAACAGAGAATCTCAGAGGTGCGGGCCAAGTACGATTGGCTGAAGAAGGAACTAGAGCAAACCAAACAACATCTGATGCTGGAGCCAGAGAAATGGACCACTGAATGTAAGTCATTTGCACAATTTTGGTTGATATCAATGGTACTTTATTGAACCGTTTCAAGTCCAAGAAATAGTCATTTATGAACAAAATTAATTAATAGCAAATTCACTCAATAGCTGTGCAACCTGCAGGCATTGTAAAATGTTTTTTTTAAGACTGTGTGGTTTAACTTCTGTCAGTTAACATCCGTTTCTTTCATTTTTGCAGTTGACCTTCAGCAGACGTTTGAAGTGGACTCTCTGGAGTACTTAGAAGCTCTGGAGTTTGTCACGGAACGACTGGAGAACCGGGTCAACTTCTGCAAAGCTCATCTGATGATGATCACATGCTTTGACATCACCTGTCGGCGACGGTAAAAGATTCGCCAAGTATTAAGGACAATTGGAAGTGGAAAAGGCTCAGCAGAGTGTATGTGAGCAAGTTATAAAGTTCATCAACACAATGATGGCTGAAATGATTGGGAAAATATAAAGGCTTACTATTTTTTCTAAAATGGGTTTTGGTGGGGAACGGAAAACGCTGGACTTGGAGAGTTGACGAAAAAAAAAAAGCATTGTCCAACATAGATGGATGAGCACTTTGGAACTACGAAGTCGTCGTTTTCGAAAATGGGCTTGCTCGCTTGCTGTGAACAAACTAATTATATTGCCATATGTGGATAAAAAACAAATCGTTGAAGAAGATGAATGAAAAACAACAAAAAGGACGACAAGTGCCTTGTGAACACTTCAATATCTTGGAAATCTATGGACAAAAATCCATATTTGTGTACAGATGGTGCTAGCTTAAAAAAACATGCATACAAACAAAACAAACAAACAAAAAAAGTTTAAAAAGTAACAAGAAAAAGAAAATGAAAACACTGCTTGTTAAATTATGTGTTTAATCTCTTTGAGTCTGTCTCGGTATTTGTATTGTTATACACTAGTCACATTCAACTGAACTGTTACGTGTGTTTTATATAATTTTTGTATTCTTGGACACACTGAGACCACATAGAGTGTATCGTATTCCATGAAATAGCACAGCACGACATCTAGAAGAATGATTCTGGCATTGGCTCATTGATTTTTCACATCCCCTGCGGTTATGTTGGCATTTTCAGCAGTGTGACGCCTCGGGCTCGGCCGCTCCAGCGTGTCACGGTTGAGAGGCGAGAAAAATCCTCAGTCTGGCAGGACCAACAAGGATCTTTAATATCAATAAGAAACAAAAACTTTAATGCATGCCAACTTCTTGGGCATTTTTAAAATGTAACTTCCCAATATAATTTTTTTGGTCTAATAAAACTTAGTCAAATTTAGTGTTGTGTTGCATTCCAGATCAGATTGGTGCATATGTCTGGTCATTGGCTTTCCCTCTATGTGGTCTCATTGTAAGTGTGCTAACACTTTGGTATAAATCTGTTTATATATACAGTATATATATGGTGCTTGAGACAGTTTCAGCTCTAAACGTTTATAGTTGAGTATATAGCCTGTTTCTGGTACTAACTAAAGACTTCATACGCTTTTCCATTCCCGCTTCACTCCTCTTCCCTGCCCTGACCCTCGCCAAAGCAAAGGGGAGCAACATTCCTGCTGCCCTTTGACCTGTTGGCATTGTAATGAATGAAGGATATAATTTATTTTTTACCTCAGGAGGCCTGTATGACAGAGATGCTTATATTCTATAATTTATTTAGCCTGCAAAGCACTATGCATTAAAATTGTACAGTAGCTAAATTCATGCCATATATATAAAATATACTTCTATATTTCCCTTTTGTTCTTCTTTATATATTATACAGGTTTTGTTTTTGTATTTCTTTGTAAATGCATCTATCGCCAAATCATGGGAGACGAGAGAACAAGCAATTTCCATGTTTATTCATGAACTGTTTTTTTCATCACAAGCCGTCACATTCTTCAGCATCTGTGGATCGTTCAAGTAATGCATTGTGTGATATGCGGTACAATGTGCAACGAATATCGTCCTAAATGCGATTTAATGTTCACGAACATGGTTGCGAAACTAAGGCCTCGCCTCCTTTCACTAAGTCATGTGAATAGAAAGAAAAAACAAAAAAGACAGAGTTTGGCATTATAGATGTATGAGGGAAGATGAGGAAAGTTGTCAACATATTGCTTCATGTTAATACTGCGACAGTCGGCATGATTTCTTGTTCTATGGGGAAAAACACAGCCTGAATGAGAGTTTGATTGGCATACGGACTGATGTAAATAAAGGATGTTTTGGAAGCTTCATTCTTTTTTTCTGCCTTATTCTGCACAGCTAATTGACAACTAAAATAATTTTAATCCTCTCTTAAAACGTTTCTCAGATACTACGTTTTTTTTATTTCGTTTTTTTTCTGCAGATCTGCAGCATAAATCTTGTTTTTTTTAAATGGAATTTCTGATAAAAAAGAATGAAAGCAACCTTTAGTTGGTCTTCTTTTATGCATTATTTTAATTCAAAATTCCCTGAGCTTCATTTTAGATGTCTTAAGCTGCTTGCAGACAAGAGTAATCTTCATTGGCTTTAATGAACAGCCATCAACCACAGATGCAGTTCGATAGAAAATCATATCAGACATTAAAAGAACAACATAAGTATTTTATAAGTATATGATAAGTCACCCTGACAGGACAAATATATAGCTCAGTCATGAAACTCTAGATGGCGCTTTCTGATGGGGTGTTAACATAACTGATGATATTCAGAGAGTTAAACGACTTGGCACAAGCTGATTGGTCCATGCTGCATATGCAGCCAATGAGCTTACTGCTTTGCATTTATATGGCTGGCTAGCATTCACTTGAGATTCCTGCAGCGTGCTTTCAGAGTTCTCTGAAACCCTCCACCTTCCCCAGCTCCACATGTATAGATCTGCTACGGGTTATTTTATATGCTATTTGTGCAGCAGCGGTATGTCTTAAATACTCATGGCACCGTATCGCCATATGCATTGGCAGTAGCATGTTCCTGTACTTGCTTGCAGCAGCAGCAGCAATAATCTACAACTACAGCAATAACCAACAGCAGCAGCAATTCAGCAGCGTAGCAGATCTGTTCTGCCAAGACCAAATACATTAACATTGTCATATCCATCACCATGCTAAAATGTTCCGAGAGTTGTCATGATTGAAATACAGATAATAACCCATCTCATCAGTGATCCTGATGCTTAGTGTGGAAGATCTCATTGTAATAACAAAAGTGAACGGAAGGTGACCCTTATTGGTCATAAAACCTAATTTTCTATAATCTTCTGGTGCTGTTCAGAAAATGTTTTGAATTTTTACTTGCTTTTGGCACTTGCTATATATGAAAAAAAAAAAAAAAACCATGGACATGATTCAAAACGGTTAAATGGTCCTGACTAAGTCACATCTGTACTGTTGAGAAGTGACAGTGGAAATGAATGGGAAGAAAATTTAATTTAGTGGAAATGTTTGGTTCTGCAGCCAAACAATCTTACCAAACGCCCATTGTTTTATATCAACCTCACATTTGGAGTACAACAAGTTTTGGTAAATACATATTTCACATAAAATTTAAAAATAGTCATAATAGTAGTCAAAATTGCCATAATAATAAACTTAAACATGTATAAGTTTTTTTATGGTTTCATTTTTTAAACCCTTTTTTTATTCACTTCCAAGTGTCTTTAAAAAGAGACCAATTTTCTGTGCTCCAAAACAGTTTTAAGTTGGAAATTTCATTTTCAGGTCTATGCTCAAAAAGTAGTTAACGGGTAATAAATGGATCAGCATTATTCCATAAATACAATTGAATAACAAAACGTAAATAAACATTTTATTTATCTATAGTACAGTACTTTCATTTCATTAAAATTTACCTAACCGCCATGCGAACAACACCTGAGGGTTAGGTAAAAATAAAATTTTATTCCTTTTGATTTTTGGTGAAACATAACTCAAAACCAGACTTGTGGTTGGACTCGTTGATGTCATAGGCTTAACAAAGGGCTCAGAGTGTGAGTTCGAGATTGGACTGCTGACAAGTCGTCGCTCTATACTAACTTCCTCTATTTCCTCTTAAGCCCCATTCTATCCAACAGAATGACATTTTTTAAGATGTTATCTCATCTCAGAGAAGCGCACCTCCAAAAGCTGTTTGCTTTAGTGGCCCCAGAGTTATGAGAGGAGAGGAGGTGGAATGAGACGTGTAATCCCGTCTATCTGTATCCTGACACTTGGGAGGGTTAAAAAGATTTAGCAACAATAACACGTTCTGGAAAAATGTCCGGAAAAGTGTCATCTGTGCTGATCCAGACCAACTAGACTAACAAAAGACTTCTATTCTAGCTTGCATAGATTTTCAGTATAAGCTCAGACACAAACTTTATTAATAATTCGATTTTTTTTACACATCACTTGTTGTTTTATCACCAAAATGACATCACTTCCTGAAGGATGTGGATATTATTATTAACAAAAAGGATATTATTAACAAAAGCCCATTCCTTGTATATCATATCAATACAAAAGAAAGTCATATTAAAGTCAATTAAAACAATATTCACAAGAAAACATTCTGGTTAGTGAAACACCTGGAAAATTTCTTAATAAAATGCCAGTTTTTCATGTTTGCATATAAATGGCAGCATCTGTTCAAACCAGAGTACTGAAATGATTTAAATCATCCGTTGCGTTCACTTAACTGTGATAAGTGTGAAAACTTACTAATGTGATTTAAATTTTCAAAAAAACTGTAAAAGTAATTGATTCAACATATTAAGGCATATGATGGGAATATTTACTGAAACGAAGAATTACAGAAGAACATTACAAATCAAGGACTTACTGCAATAATACAACCCAGATGGTAAAAGCAGAGCATAAAAACACAAAGCAGTTGCTGAAATATGTTTACGAAATCAGAGCGAAAGTTAGTTAATGATGTTAATGATGAGAAACTGAAGCCCAAATCTGAGGTGTGTGCTGTTTGGAGTGGTTTTATGAATCACAGCAGTTATTGCTGAAAAGGTGTTGCCTTTCAGAACAGTTGATTATGTGATCAAAAACACACTTAAAGGGGTCATATGATGCGATTTCAAGTTTTATTTTCTCTTTGGAGTGTTACAAGCTGATTGTGCATAGATAAGATCCCTGAAGTAAAAAAAAGCATCATATGACCCCTTTAAGCCATCTATAGTCATTTTTAAGGGTCATTAAGTCAAAGTTTAAAAAACAGTTTTGAAAAGCTACTACAGTACCTCACAATAGTTTGGGCAAATGTACTAATGTGCTAATAGATTTTCCAAACAACACACCTCAAATAAGACATTTCCTTCCTGTCTCATTTGTACCATTCTTGTTTCCATTAGACCTCACATTCTGAAGAAATACCATTCCTTTATGTAGAACAAGGCAGCTAAATCTTAAAATGCTAGTCTAACATGTCATATTCCAATCAGTGTTGTTATGGTTAACTAAAACTATAACTATTAAAAATCATTGTTGATAACTGAAAAATCGGAGCCAAAAATACAGCAGTATATTTCATTGTACACATGGGGTACTTTTTTATCCCTGTGTTCACCAAACCCATCTTGAGTGTTTGCTGCTAAAAAGCTAATTTTTTAGTTTCATCTGACCATAGAAGCCAGTCCCATTTGAAGTTCCAGTCATGTCTGATAACTGAATATGCTGGAGTTGGTTTTGGATGAGCTAGGAGAATTTTTCTTGAAACCCTCCCAAACAACATGCGGTGATGTAGGTGCTGTTTGAATTTTTTTTTTTAAGGTTTTCTGACCCTGAGACTCAACTATTTTCTGCAATTCTCCAGCTGTGGTGCTTGGAGAGTCTTTAGCCACTCAAACTCTCCTCCTCACCGTGCATTAGGACGATATAGACACATTTGTGAATTTTTTTAATAAAAGATCAGAAAGGATTAACAATGCAGAATAATTTTCACAGCCTTCTTTGATCATATTTACCAAGGGTGCCAATATTTTTGGCCATGACTGTACATCTGAAAAAACGAGAGGCCTAAACTTAAAAAAAATCAATGTATATATAGTCCATAACTACAAAATTACAAAACTTTAATCTTTAAATAAAACTAAAATAACACATATTTGAATAATTGTATTTCTCCCAAGTGACCAGAACAACAAGAAACATATTAATGTAAGGATTTACTGAATACTCAATCAGATGCATTTAAATACTAATATATCACATATGTTTATGAATCTAAGAATATGCAGCTACAAATCAAAAATGCATTGACCCAAATCATTCAGACTTTGCTGCCATTACTGCACATTACTGCACAAGTTTATCATTTAAATTTAGCATTATTTTTCCTCTTGCAACCACTAATTTGGGGTCAAAATACCTAGATGTAGGACTTTCTTTTGAATAATATATACTATACTTTGGATTGAGTGTTAAAAGTGAAGGGGACAGCAAGTTGAACTCTGTCATTATTGCAAAAAATTCAGAATAGAAAAAAGTGGAATGAATTCCACAAAAAACGAATCTGAAATGGGATGAGCAATCTGAAATGGACTGAAAAAGCACAGCAGAGTAATGTAGATTTTTCCCTCTGGCAAGCAGAGTAGAAGCAGAGAAAAATATTCTTATTTTTTCAGTTGAATTCTAAAGCAGCTGGTTTGATACACAGCGGCACAAAAGCAGGTGGCAGACACAACCATCCAGAAACATCCCATTTGCGTATTGATTGTATTGTCGGAGAGGAGTTTGGGGCTGTGGCGGGACTGCAGCAGTCACTCTCTGTATGATGGCACACATCAGCCTAGACTCGACCCAGCTCAGCCTGGCACTCGCTCAGTTTTCTGCTCACCTCATTAGTCAGGGCGTGAGCCGTCCCGTGGGTCACCTTCATGATGTCATAGGCCTGAGCGGGAGCAAGAGAGATGCTTGAGTTAAACGATTGTCATGTGAGGGAAGAACATTCATTTAAAGGACTGAAACTGGAGCTGGGAGAGTCCAAAGCAGCCACTATGTTACTGTGGGATTTGACTGCTGCACCAAGAGCGTCACGGGTGAAATATTAGTAAGAGAAATGTGGCATATTAACACTCTTCCATTATAATTAAAAGTAAAAAAAAAAAAAAAAAAAAAAAAAAAGTAATTATTATAGTATATTAAAAAATTAAATATGATTATATTATATTATATTAATAAACTTTTGGTGCCTTTTATTATATTTCTGTGAATTTCTGTACATTTTAGTGTTTTAAATTTAATATTTATTATTTTACATTTATTCGTTTATAATTTTTTATATAAGTTTATATATTTAAGTTTATCATTTGGCCCACATCTTCTAAATGTGGGTGAAATTTTAGTGGCAGAGAAGTTAACATTAAAAATGAAATGCTTATATTATGTTATGTTACGTTGCGTTACATTATTTTTTATTTAAGTTTATATATTAAAGTTTAGAAGTTGGCCCACATCCTCTAAATGTGGCAGAAAAGTTCAAATTAAAGATAAAATGATATTATATCATTGCAATATATTAAAATGATTATATATTATATTATATTATAAATAAAATATTGGAGCCTTTGTCATATTTATGTCACAGTCGTCTTTTTATAAAATCAATAAAGGCAGTGATTTAAGCATTAAGATAATAAAACCTCTAAGCATCAAGATAATAAAGCATTTTGCAACATTTTTGTCCTTATTTTGCCATCTGCACATAGTCTGCCTGACTCCGACTGCCTTTAAATCACTAAATCTAGTCTAACAGCAGCAGACGCACAGTGGAGTCAATGCGGAGACATCCATACCACCGTTTAGACAACATTCAGACTGCAGGGCAGAATGACCATCGAGGGTCTCATTACGCTCCTGATCTCTCTGCAGTGGGTTATAGGGCCAAAGAGCGTGTGCTAACAGACCTGTGTGAAGCTCCCCTGAGCCTCCTCCAGTCTGCCCTGGTAGTGCTGCAGCTTCCCCACCCGCAGCAGCTCCACCGCTCTGGACGGATGAGGATCACTGTAGTACAATCTGTGCAAGGAAACACAAGATTACAAAATAAATGGCAACAGTGTGAGCTTTCAAGTGGCCATCTTTTTTTCTGTTTTGTGGTTTAGTGTTTAAAAATCTTGGCTAATGACTGGATGTAGGTTCAAACCCTAGAAAGAGAGCTTCATGGCCTACCACCAAGAAAAATTGGCTGTTTATTACTACTTATAAAGCACATATTCTGCATGACCATATTCTACATCCCTAATCCTACTCCATATATTAACTTAACAACTACCTTACTAACTATTAATAAGCAGAAAATTAGGAGTTTATTGAGGCAAAGGTCATAGTTAACGGTCTGTTAATAACGAGAATTGGATCTTAAAAAAGTGTGACCGAAAATTTGTTTTTACGCCCAGTGTTTTTCAGTGTAGTGCAATTTCAGTCATGGAAGGTTGACTACACCAGAATATTATAATACAGAGATTTACAGTCTAAGCATGCTAAGCATGTTATTTAAATAATTTTTTTTTTTAAACATCACCTACAACTAGTGTTATTAACTACAACTAAATAAGTTAAAATACTAAAATTACAAACTAAAACTGAAATTACATAAAAGCTAAACAAATTTCTTATTAGAAACTAATAAAAATGAAAAAAAAAACAATACTTTAACTAAACAATCAAATAATTACATTTTAAGATAATTAAAATTAGTAATAAATACTATAATAATTTATAACTAATAGTAAAATAACACTGCCTTCAACAAATAACAATTACATGCCCAATAGACCAATAAATAAATAAATACTTTATTATATTACTAACTGATAAGTAAAATAATACATATGAATACAAACTATTTTAACCAATGACTTCTGATATTACAAATCAGTTTTGATTGTTTTTCGATCTAGAATTTTACACGCAAGTAAAAATAAGCATAGAACCACTTCAATCTTGAGTAAAAAAAGATGACTGTTTAGTACTTTCTGAAGCCTTCACTGAAGAAAATAAATATTTTTTTATTAAAAATAGTTGACATCAATTTAAAAAAGTTCTGATTTGATCTGCTTCAAATATTGTCTTAATCAGACAGATGCCAACAATTATTATATTTGTTGTTACCAATATGGTCACCATATTATATACCATCATAGTACACTTAATACTAAACTTCAGGTCACACCAGGGAAACCGTAGTAAAGAAATGTACTTTAGATCAGCATCTGCAAGTAGAAATAATAAAACTTCCCCTGGAGAAATAAATACACCAGACGACTGCTGTACCAGACACAAAAACATGATCTGATCCCATCTTCCATCCGTCTCTGAAGAAATCAACATTTCTTCTATTACTTTTTCATATATAGTGTTTGAGCACATCAGATTAATACAGGTGATCCTGGCAGGAAACATGCTAACATCAGCATATTCCAGGCGCAGGAGCGTGAGGGTGATATTCCCTGTCAGAAGCCTTTATTCCGCATTTCCCATTCATCCGCACTGAGCCGAGAGCAGCAGGCCAGGCTTACAGTGATCCGCTGCTGAGACGGGCAAACAAGAGACAGGCTGCCTGTCTGCCGCTCTAACACCACGACAAAGTCACAACGAGAAAGATAACAACATATGAGGATTTTAAGTATTTTAAAGTATTTCTTAACATCATTTGCAACTCATTTTACTGCAGTAACACAAAGCACTTCCAGAATATGCAACCAAAAGCATATGGTTCTGCATTTTGTTTCTTTTGTGTTCTAACTCATAACTCAAAGAGCTCAGTAAAGCTGTGCAGATTTCATCTTCATGGCCTTGACTGACTTTCACTTAAAGGTCAAACCCTTGGCAGTAAAAGCAATGATGAAGACGAGCACTTACAGTTCTTTAAAACTCTCAGGGGTTTTTTGTACAGAGAAGCTCAGTCACTGTGTGGACACACTTGTATTGTGAAATATTCGTCTGCTGGGACAGTCTTCATCACACAGTGCAGATTTTTATTGTCGTGGGTTATGGGTCCAAGGTCATCTAATAGCAGAGATTGATGCTTTAAGCTCCTTAGGTTTCGTTTTAAAGACCCTTGTGATTTTGCTAGTTGTAAAAATGTCTAGAAATATCAGACTCTGTAAGCGTTACAACAAAAGAATGAGAATTCAAGCTTCACAAGGACAAGCGCTCGTGGTATGTGAAAGGACTTGATGGATGTGAAATTATATTCTGAGAGATATTTATACAACTGTCAGAACAGAAGACAACACAAGTCCTGGAGGGTCTGCTGCAGAAAGTTCAAGCAGTACAGACTGTAATCCAAAAGTAATCAGAACATAAAATGAGTAATCTGGATTACATTATCTCTCTGTGTGTGTGTGTATCATGTAATTCAGATTATTTATTTTAGGGAATATATTCGGACTATTTTGCATTCCTTTGAAAAAACGAAGAGAAATAAAATATAATCCATTTTTTGTCTTTTTTTATGAAATGCATTAAACATCACATTGCTTCAGGGTTTCCAAAACTAGAGTAAATTAAATAACTGCTGATGAAAAGCTAATAATTCATTAAATCATAAAAATGTCAAATTAAGATGAATGCATTTACATTTTTTACATATAAAATATTTGATATTTGTTTACCTGCATGCCAATGTAATCATTAAACAACATTAGAGAACATGCAAATCAGTTGTGAAATTATTGAAATATTAACTTATAATAATGATGATGATTCCACTGGCAAACACCATTAATTACAGACAAAACATGAGTACTTTAACATCCAATCCTATTTTTAATTTGCAGTATTCGTCTTGCAAAAATTACCATTTATTTATTGGACATAGGACTCAAATGAAATAAAATATTATTTTTTTTATTTCATGTTAGCCTAAATGATGCCAGACTCACACTTTAATCGCCAAAGCCATTAATACAAATTGAAATGATTTGAATTAAAATTCACCCTTAAGCAACTTTTTCTGCACATTATTGGACTTTAATAAATGGTATGATAGATAGGCCTGTTGATACATACCAAATGAGAAGAAAATTATTCGTGAGAACAAACACAGCGCAAATGCATTCACAACCTCACAACTCTTATACAGTGAAACCTGCCACAGTCAGAAGCCAAATATAAATATAACAATAGCTTTGAACAAATAAATCACCCTGAACAACACAGCCACTGCATGTTTCTGATGAAGTCCATCCTCCATCACTCGTCTGGCCTGAACCATCATCAGTATTAGAGCAGCACTTTCTGTTGCTGTAGCAACAACCAGAGGAGGGGCGGCACACCACAGCGACCTGTTAACACTCCCATTAGTGTAAGCTCAGCCTTTCTATTCATCTCCACGCTGGATCATTACCAAGAACAAAGAGCCCTATCTCTGCTGGGACCACTTTGGAGGAATATTAAATTGTGATTTCTATCTCCTCACAAACAGCAACTTGTTCGTGAGCTGTGAAGAAGCACCACGCCCAGGAAAGACAATAGCCTTTATCATTAATCTGGCCGGCACATTAACAAAGCCCCGCACTGTAATCTGCAGCTTACATCTCCATGCATTAAAAGTGCTTTTGTCATGTGATATCAATCTCTGAGCTGCAGTCAACGTGAAGGTTGTTTGTAGTGCTGATGCTACAGTTCACGCAAGAATGCATATAAAACGATCAGCTGATCAATGTCTAATCACTCACTGAGACTTTTTCATTCATGGCGGCGTGTGTTGAATACACATGCATTTCTGAACTGGATCGAGAAGGCTGTTGTTTCAGTAAGGTACAACTTGTTTACATTATTTACTTCATTATTCTTAATGCTTAAAGTAGTAATGAAAAACATCCGTAATATTAAATATACTATTGCTCATTGCTAGTTCATGTTCATTTCTACAACTTGAAATTAATACATTTCTGTTAAAGTACGGTTTGTTGTTAATTCAATGTTAACAGACAGGACCTTATCATAAAGTGTTACCGATTTAATAAAAAAAATCTACTTTTCACTGACAGCAGTGAGACGAAATGGAGAGAAAATGGAAACATATTGCACTCAGATTTTTTTTTCTTGCGAAACCCCCAGTAAACTCATATATCTTCTCAAACTATGCTCAGGTTCCACAATCAAACATTAGAAATTTCATTATAAAAGCAAACAATTTTTTCCCATCAAATTATTACAAGTCCAAATTATTATATTATATAATATGCAATTACTTATTTTATAAAAAAAAGTACCATACACATAAAAAGAGGTGGGCTCTTTGAAAAACACATTTCTTAAAATATATAAATGACTTTATATTATACATAAACCTTTTGAAAATAAAATAAAATAAAAAGGTTATGCATATTATTTTTTTCACTCAATTATGTTATCATCATGCGATATAAAACATAAAACATAATAAAAACTACATGATTTGGAATAAATTGAAATAAAAACAAAAAAGCACTGAAAACGTCAAATGTAAAACATGGAAAAACTTCTTGTTCTCAAAAACAACAACAAATTTGGGGCAGAGTTATCTACCAATGGCAGACAGGGAGGAGGGTTCAGGAAACCTGTCTGAAAACAGTAAGTTTCTTGCTGTTCCATTTGGTGTTGCAGAAATGACACATTTCACCTTAGAAACTTTAATGAAACGGCTCAATTAAGCTTTCTGAGTTATGAAAAATGAACCCTTAAGCACTAAAATCTTGTTTTGAAAGCATTTTGTATATTGTCGCTAAAAAATACCATGAACGTGTTATGTATAGGAATCTTCTGTGTCTCTGCATCTCCCCTTTATGTGACCCCTCACCTCCAGAGCATGGGAACATGCTTGGTTACACCAAACTCACACTATCACCTATATGACATTACCACCCTGACCGCCCGCTCACCGTTATATCGCCTCTAACCGCCCTGGCTCTCACACATCCACCTTTGACTCCATCTCTGAACCCTCAAGACTCATAACAAAGCCCTCCATTACAATCCAATCCTGCTGAACCCCATCCCTTTCCCTCCCCGTGCTGTAATACTTGGTT